TGTTTGGCCTGGAAGTATTGAACAAAGCAAAGGGCAGGGCTGGGGGCAGAATACACTGCCAGACTATAGAGAAGGGAGATCTCAGACTCGTCAAAGATCCGCGTACCCATGGCCACCAGATGTGACATCTTTCCTACCAACTGGAGGCAGGAAGAGCATTCACCTTGTTCCCCTTCGCCTGACTCACAGCAGCTACACAATAAATATTTGTTAAATAAATGAATTTCTTGGGCAGGACAGGTTTAACATCCATAAATCCTGGCAAACCCACTTCCTTCTCCTTTGGACAGGACCCTATTCACTGGAGCAGAGCGTCCCATCTCGTGTTGTGTTTTATTCTCTTGGATGAAGATACCCTGAAACATTGTGGTACATAGCCTATTCTTAGCACTACCATGAGGAGGGGGGTCTTCCAAAAGTTCACGAAAAATGCATATGATAAATAAACTAGATTTCAAATTTTTTGGCACCAAAATACACACACACTTCAATTCCCCTTTCTCAGAAATGTTCTGAAGTCCCTTCCTATGTTCACACATCTTCCTTAGGCTCCTTTACAGACCCCTGTGTATGTGATGTCACTGTACTCTCCTGCATGCTACAGACAACGATGGTAACTGCCGCAGTGACCCCAGTGCCTCGGCATGGTCTCCCTCCACTGCCTGGAGCACGTCACAGCTCTCCCCTCGCACACACAATCAAGAGCACATGTTTGTCCAAAAGAGTGATCATCCTTTTGGTAGGATTTTTGTTCTTCCTTTTTTATATTTTTTGCTTACTGCACTAAGTTTGGAGCCCCTAACACTTTCTGTTTTCAGCTCCTCAAATAACTGTGTGAATGTGCTGGCCAAGCTTATAGGTCTCCCCCCGATCTTCGCTCAATTCGCCATGAAGGATAAACCCATTTCTTCTAAGACATTTTTAAGGCATATTTGCTTGGCCAGACAAAAAGGTGGGGGGGGGGGACATCTATCCCTTTCTGATGGCACTCATGGGAGGCTGTCCCCAGCTGGCCAGCTGACAGCAGGCTGGTTCATGGCACTGGGGTTAGAACGTGGGACGGAAACAGCCACCTCGTTTTCCTGCGTTGGCTGAACTTGGCAGAATCCCAGTTGTTCCCTAACCTGGTCCTATGTCATAGTCCTCGGGTACAATGCATAATCATTTTCCCTCCCCCAAAAGTTTTAAGAAACCAGTAGAGAAAGGATTCCAAACTCACATTAAGAGAAGCTTTCTTTCTCACCCACCCCATGAAGATCCTAAAATGAATCTCAGCAACTGTGCGCTTGGCTTCAGAAGTCTCACCCCCACCCTTTTGATTCTCTTCCAACAAAATGCTCACACTGGATACTTCCTTGAGAGGTTTCAGGATGCCAGGAATGGCAAGGCTTCCCTGGAGGGCCCTACAAGATCTCACTCAGACTCATCCAATGACTGGTGCTGGGTATCGGAGCTCTCTCCCATATCCTCCCCCGTCATACTTCCACAAGTTGTAACCTGGCATGCCTGGTCTCAGAAGCCAAAACTATGACAACTATTCAGATAAGCCAGTGGAATTTAAAGTGCAGGTTCACTGCTTTGCTGGTGAACACGGCAGAGCCCGCTTTCTAATGTGAGGTGTGCTCTCAAATCCCGCATCCAGCAACACGCCATGCATTCAGGAGAGGCTTACCTGTGAAGGGAATTAATAATCCTCTTTTAATGTACCAGGACAATTTCTTTTGTTTTGTTTTGTTTTTATTTTTGCTATAGGGCATGCGCGCTTGCCAGAGAGAGAGCTCAAAAGAAAGTGAGAAATCACCCCTCCAGGGGAATGACCACAGCACAATCCCTCGTCCTCCATTCTCCTCTCAGTATTTTGGGTACACATGTGCCCAGTGTGATTTGCAAGCCACTGGGTCAGGTTAAATTGTGCAGTTGGCCATGTGGGATCCAACCACCTTAACCTCCACATCACCTGCCAGCCCAGCAACTTCATTTTGAAGGAACATAATGGTGAATACCTAAAGAAATGTTTATGTCTTTAGAAAAACTTTGTTTTCACATTTAAGGGGCTTCAAGTGAGGTAAACTTTGAATATCAGTTAAACTTTTCTTTTTGTTAAGAATTATTTAAACTTATTTCTTATCATTATTTTTTAATTTGACCAGAGAGAGACAAGGAGAGAACATAAGAAAGCAAGCCACCAGTTCCGAGACTTGAACTGTGGTCAACTTGAACAGTGGTTGGCCATGGGAGTCCAGTGCATTAACCACCATACCACCTGTTGGCCCCAAACCTTTCTGTTTTCAATGGCAGTTTTTAACTTACAAGAGTAAAGAGAGCCTGAGGGTTGAGGTTAGGCCAATGTTTGAATCCTAGTTCTGGCAGAGTCTAAGATAATTACATACAATTTACAGAAGTTGCAATGATTAAATGAGGCGGCTGGTGACATTCCTAGGACATGGTGGGAGATGGACATGGGAGGTAGGTAGGGGCCCACTCCTGTGCTGTTCATTTCAGAAGCGAGAGAAGAAGAAATTCAGCCTGGTGGGCGGTGTCGAGACTCAGCCTTCTCAGGCTCTTGTACATGTTTTGAAAGGTGTTCTGTCTCAGAAGGTATTTTTGATCTTATACACTGGTGTAAATAGATCGTTGTCTAACAGATCTGTTCTTTATTACATGCTTGATAGATGCCTTAAGTACAACAAAAACACACTTAGCAACTCATGAAGATTCCATGGTCTCTGAAACTGGCAAGAGTTTCAGGGGAATCACAGGGAAATTTGCCTGCAGCATGATTAATCCTGGGTGGACTGGTCCCGGAAAAGCACATGAGGGTTAGTAGCAAGCAGCAGCTTGCAGAATTTCACAAAATAAACTGTCTAACAGAGGGGCCCTGAAGTACGCGCTTTGCACTGAAGTTCAGAGGGAGGGTGGGGCCTGACAGTTTAGGAAAATACCAGATGTGTGGATGACAGACCTTCTTTGAATCCACTCACATCCAAAGAAGAGGACACATGGGACCAGATTATAAAACTGAACCAGATTATAACATTAAATGAGGAAGACCCAGTAGGGCGTAGGATCCGCCATGAGAAGGATAATAAAATTCATCACCATAATTACCCCCCAGCCCAGCTCCCCAATAGGAGCCAACAATAGCTCAGCTCAATGAAGTTATTCATCCATATTCAAGTTGCCTCGCTCATTATCCTCAGACAAAAGCCCTGCTGGGCCTCACTCCTTGCCAGCAGCCCAGCAGTTCCCCCAGGCACACAGGGCCAGCCCCCCACACCACTGAGTACCCACACTACCGAGTAAAGGCTTCTTTCTTTAGCAGTTTCTATTGTGGTACCAAACCGTGGCTATTTTTTTTTTCAGGTGAGGTTTGGTGCTACCTTTTTGGTGTACCTTTGACCTTCAGGAACTGCTTTAAAATAAATACAGCTTAAGGCTTCCCCCAAGGGAAGCAGAGGATGTTGTCTGGCAGCTGTCTGTCCTTAGCAGAGCTGGGATGTGGCTTGGGGGCATGAGGGAGTCCCTCATCTTGCAGGGGTGAGCACAAAATAGTATCCTTTGCACATTGTCTCGCCAAAAAGGAAATGTAACTGAAACACAGAACTGTATATATTCCAGTGGAAAGAGAAGTTCCAAAGATAGGACCTCCGTGAATAGCCTCGGCCCCTGTAAAGACAGACAGTGCTCGGTCTCTTCTAAGCAGACAGCCAGGCCCAGAGGAGTACACTGTATAATTTCCCTAAGGTTGGGTGTTTTTGTTTGTGTGAAATTATAGAAGCTTAGGTGAGGTCCACTCCTCCTGCAAATCACTCCCTTGTAGAAGGATCTCCATCCTCAAAGTAGAAAAACGTTGAGAGTTTACTTTCAGAACACAGCTCACCAATTCACTTACAATTTTTTCAACCCAATATTTAGTGAGCAACTACTATGTGCCAATCTATTTTGACTCTGGGGATCAAAGTGAAAGGGAGCAGTGCCCTGTAGAGCCTGTATGCTATTGAGGAAACAGGTAAAAATTAAAATTCCAAGCAAAGAAATGAAGCACTGACAAATGTTCGCAGATGAAACCTACACAGCTCCCTGGGCAGAAGGAGGTAAAAAATGAGATGGGGAAAGGAGAGAAAAGGAAGAAGGGAA